ACTGCTGTCATGAGGTGTAGTGAGATGCTGCAGGGTGGTCTCTCTTAGGCAGCACAGGAAGGTTTTTCAGGGAAAACGATGCTCGGATGCCGTAGTACCTGCTTGTGGGAGTGGTGGCAAAGTGTCCTTCAGCTTCTCAGGGCACAGCACAGGCTGCCACTCGCTGTGAGAACTTGTTAACATTTGCTCTTAGGTCTGCCAGCCACTGGGAAGGCTGGTTTTTTTTTTTGTGGTACAGTTGTCTGAAATTCAAACTGTAGTAACATTGAAGTTTTAATAATAGAACAGGCCGTTCTGTCCACAAACCTCAACTTTCTCAAGAACTTGCCATCTCCAGAGAGGAAAATGTGCTTGGTTTTGCTTCCCCCTCTCCAACAAACAGCTCTCTGGCAGGTTGTAGCAGCGAGGTTGGAGCCCACTTAACAGTCATTCAGGAGCAAAGTCAGAGCCCTGATCATCATCCTCTGTACCTAAATTGGCACCTTCCAGGCCATGCTAAGTCTGAGCTAATTGCCAATTACTGGCAGGGCTGGCACAGCGTGAGGAGTAACCATAGTACCCAGAGAGTGAAGTGCTTTTGCCTTTCCAGAGGTTGGTACTTAATTGCCCCCTTGTTTCTTTGTAGAGCGTGGACATGTTCCCTTAATGCTTTTAATTGTTTTCTCCTCTCTGGTTCCATGTGTAGTGGCACACCTTGTGCTGTCCTGTGGTGGAGGGAGGTCATCCTGCCCCTCTGCTCTGCCCTGGGGAGGCCCCATCTGCAGCACTGGGACCAGTTCTGGGCTCCCCAGTTCCAGAAGGACAGGGAACTGCTGGAGAGGGGACAGCAGAGGCTACAGAGATGATTAAGGGCCTGGAGCATCCCTGTGATGAGGAAAGCCTGGGGGCCTTGGGTCTTTTGAGTCTGGAGAAGAGAAGGCTGAGGGGGGATCTGATGAGCGTCTATAAATACTTCAAGGCTGGGTGTCAGGAGGATGGGGCCAGTCTTTTTTCAGTGGTGCCCAGTGACAGGACAAGAGGGAACGGGCACAAACTTGCACATAGGAAGTTCCATCTCAACATGAGGAGGAACTTCTTTGCTGTGAGGGTGGCAGAGCCCTGGCAGAGGCTGCCCAGGGAGGGGGTGGAGTCTCCTTCTCTGGAGACATTCAAACCCACCTGGACACGTTCCTGTGGGACCTGCTCTGGGTGGACCTGCTTTGGGAAGGGGGTTGGACTGGATGATCTCTGAAGGTCCCTTCCAACCCCATATCATTCTGGGATTCTGAGATCCTGGATGCCAGTTTCCTATAAACTGGGTCTTTCTGAGCATTTCAGGTCTTGCTGCTCCTACTTGCATTACGAGGGCAGCCATTTGGCTGCTGTGTGGGCGCTCCTTAGCCCAGAGCAGGGACAGCAACTGTCTCTAACTGCTTAAAACTTCCTGGCTGGGTTCAGTCTGAAAGCATTAGCCTCCAGTTTGATGTGGTGGGATTTGTCCCAGGTCCACCAAAACTCTTAGCGACGCTGCGTTGTGAAATCGGGATGCTGCCGACCAGAGTATGATCTGGAGTGCTTCGGCTCCATCCTTCCCGGGGATGGTACAGGGAAGAACCAGCTCATTGCACGTTCCATCCCGAGTTGCCGGTGTTGAGCGCTGCCCTCAATCTAGATTGATTGCTTAATTGTTCACTGTAACAATTCTGTAATGAAGTTCTGTCTGGCAGCGGGCTCGCTGGGGGATTCGTGGCTGGCAGTGCTCTGCCGGGCAGCAAATGTCCCATGTGCTTCACGCACAGCAGAGCCTGTTGGGTTTAGGTGTCCTGTTCAGAAAAGTCCCTTTCTAGAGGCTGTAGTCGTTATTATTCCCCCTCCTCAGTGCTGGAATTAATGTATTTTAGAATCTATAACCCAGCAGCGGAGGAGGAGGCATGGGATTTTTGCAAAAATACCTGTCGTTGTCGTCTTCAGGCACAGCGGCTGCAAAGACCGAGAGGAAACCTGTAAATGATATTACTATGCAGAATAACCTATTATTTTTTTCGAAGTGTTGTTGAACAGCTGCTTTCTTAGAAACTCTTTGCTCTGTTTTTTTTTCTCATTGTGGTGAATTTAGCAGAGGCAACCGCAGTTTGTTTTTTAGACCTTGCTGTCCTGCAGTAAGGTCACCTATAGGTACAAGCTTGCTTTGAGAGGGGAAAACTGCTCTTCTGTGGTGGGATAAAATGGTGTTGGTGGGTGTGTGAGGGAGTTCTGTAGCCATCACTTGGGTGCTTCAGCTGGTGGCTGGCTGGTCCCAACCCATCTTAATGTAGTGATCGAATCCTGACCGTGTGTCTTTAAGGAAGAGGGGATGAGCAGGGGATGCTGACTGCTACCTTCAATTAGCTGGCTGCCTAACGAGCTCCTGGGTTGGGTGGATGAGCTGTACCCAGCAGGCAGCAGCAGCGTGCAGGCAGGGGTGCCCCCTGGGCTGTTTGGGTGCCCAGGAACACGGGGTGACAAGCTGGTGATTCCCTCTGCTCCGGGCACCTCCTGCTGCTGCTCCCACCACAAGCTGCTCGCCTGCTGTTTTGCTGGATTCTGCAGGAATCAGTGAGTGCCTGAAATAGCTTTGGCTGGGTAAATAGTGGGGAAAGCACGTCAAACCCAAGAAATGCACTTGGTGTTGGTAATGGAAGGTGCTTTTGGATCCGAATCCAGGCTGGAATTTGCTGAAGAGTTGGACCAAGCACAGTAGTGTGCTGTGTTAAACTAGTTTGAGACTTAAATGGGGGAGTGTGCATCGTCTAAGAGAGTCTTTTCATTTACTTTTTTGCAGTAATAAATCATGAGGGCTTGTGAAGTCCAAGCACCTCGGGTGGGGTGCTTTGTGCAGGGTGTTGCTAAGGAGCAGTGATTTGATGGACACACATAATTCTGCTTTATAGATAAGACGCCGTGTATAAGATAAATAATCACCAGTTAAGAGTGGTCCCTTCAAGGTGTGGGTTCGGTACAAACCAGTGGCTCTGCTGATGCTGGTGTGTCTGGGGCAGTGGAACAAAACACAAGGCCTGGGGCTGGGATTTGAGGGGTGGCTTGCCTTAAAATCTAAATGTACATTTACAAGTGCTTTTTTTACTGAAGAATTGGTCTTGGGAGGGCACATGCAGACTTCCTCTGTGCTGTTGCCACCTTCTCCCCTAGTTTGCTGTCTGCTCTTTGCCCTCTATCCTCAGGACAGAAACCCTCTTCCAAGCAGGAGAGCCGTGGAGAGCCCAACGGTCCCATCTCCCACGTGAGGATGCCCTTAGTTGGTGCAGCAAGTCAGGCGTGATGCGCAGAGCTTTCCAGTCTTTGGGAAGGCTGAGAACCTCTTCTTTCAGAGGAAGAAACGAGCTGTGTGAGCTTGCCTCAAGAGTGCTGCCTTCAGAAAAGTCGGGAAGAGTTGCTTTCATTCTGACCAGCCTCTTACTCAAAGGAGCCTGCTGGGAATGATAGGCCATTATATCTCCCCTAAGGCTTGTGCCATGCGCTGGGGTAGCTAACTGCTTTAATTGAGTGGTGTATGGAGTGTTCTTGGCTGGGGTGACCTGGAAGGCTGAGAGCTGTCAGCATGGCTCAAAGCTCCTTCTGGGAATAACGCCTGCGAGCGTCTCTTTGCGACTTTCTTGATTAGTGTGTGCGGGGGATCTTGGATATTAAAACCAATTAGTTGTCTTTAAGGTCAGGGAGTTATTTGACCTACCAGCATCTGTCTCAACTTGGCCTGAATTGAGGATCTTTGGAAGAGGGCTGTACAACTTGTGTAAAGAGGCTAATGAAGTGATGCTTTTTAAAGCACTTCCCCGCTGTCTCTGTAGCCCAAACACTTCAGGCAGGATGCTAGTGCATGACAGTGTGAAATGGCAGCAGGCAGGTGCTGTATTAGTCTTGTCCTACTGTAAGAAATCTAACAGTGCAAAACCCCTATATATATATTTTTTTTTTTTTAATGGCTGAAAAGCACTTAGGATTCTGGGTTAAATCACCACCAGAGTTAAAGGTGTTTTCGCAGAGCTCAGCCTGTCCTTGAGAGGGCTAGAGGACACAACGAGGTATTTGATTTTTATGCTATTACTCAAATGTAAAGTATGAGGTCTGGGTTAGATTTGAGACAATGCAGAAGCAGCACTTGAGGCATCTGGGTTTCTCCATGGCAAATGGGAGATACCTGCTGGAAAGCAGGCAGGAACTTCCCCCATTTTCATTTTGGCTTTGGGTGGATTTGAAACCCTGAGGCTGCTTCGGGGATTAAGACTTCTGCGGGATCCACCCCAAAGCCATAGGAGGGACGAATATCCATCTTACTTTTTTCCATTTCATTTAAGCCAGTTCTGTGATTTGTGGGGTCTTATCTCTTGACTCGGTGCCTGGGGTTGGCGCTTCCGAGCTAGTGGTTGTGTACTTAAGCGTGCTTTATTTAAAGCAGCTGCCAGAGTTGGTGAGTCTGTCTGCAAAGCAAAGTGCTAGTGGGAAAGTAGAGAAAAGACTTAACTGCCACAACAGGATCCTTCCAGCTCGGTTTTCTGTCTTAATGTGAGGAGAACAAAGTGTTAAAACAGCACTTGGGCTGGCTAGTGCTCCAGCTGTCTGAGAACAAATGGAATGGGCTTAAAATTGTCCTTAAGGTATGTGACTGCATTGTTTTAAATAATCTCTGCAGGGGACTGCCTACATGCCTTTCCCTTGCAGCCCTTAGCCTGTACATACGGTCTTTTTTCCGGAAGAGTATCCCAGGTTAGACAAGCAGCTTTTGGAAGACCTGCTTGATAGTGGCTACCCTGAACACTTGGTTATGGAGTCAAAATTCTCTGAAGAGCCTGTTTTGTCGTCTTTTCTCTCCACTGTTGTCCAGCAGAAGGGGAATTACGCCCCTCATCCTTGAGGGGAGGGAGGAGAGACAGCTGCATGCACAGAATATGGTATGAATGCACTTGTTGCTTTGGCTGGTGACTGCTCACAACTCTTTTTTTTTTTTTTTTTTTTCTGTTTCTCAGCAATGGTACCAGCATGATATCATTGATCATTCCCCCCAAAGACCAGATTTCGCGAGTGGCAAAAATGTTAGCGGATGAGTTTGGCACCGCCTCCAACATTAAGTCTCGAGTGAATCGCCTTTCAGTACTGGGAGCCATCACATCTGTACAGCAAAGACTGAAACTCTATAACAAAGGTAACTCCTAGCTTGGGTGGGTGCTGGCAAACTTCCCTTGCTTGGAAGCAGCCTTAAGTTCCTGCCTTACGCAGTGTTCTGCTAATCAAATCTGGTGGCCTGTGCTGCTGTTTTGCGCTCATGTTCCAGGTATGTTGCCCTGGGAGGGCTACTTCAGGGGTAGATTTTGGGAATAGAATAGTAAGGTGGTCCTTGCCTTTAAGAAGTGGGCTCAGGATTCTGTCCTTAGCTGTGCTGACCCTTCTAAACTTGGCCAGCCCTGAAAGCTGTTCCACATTTGTATTAAACTAGGGGTTTTTTTCATCAAGCAGAAGCTTATGTGTGTCACCATGCAGCCACCATAGTTTTGGGAGGAAATAGACCCAGCCTATCTAAAACAAGCACTGGAAAAGAGTTCATAGTTACTATTTTTACACTGATGAGTGGCCTTCATTGAGATGGTCAGTCTATAAATCACTGTATAAGAACTAGGAAAGCTTCACGGGGATGTCCAGCCTTTCCCCGGATTCTCTGGGCTTGTGAGCTCCTAGGTCTAACAGACAGGTACATGTTCTTGCAGATTTATTGCAAGTCTTTCCATTAGTCTTACCTTTTAGCTTCCCACTCCAAGCTGTTCAGTAGAGGTGCACTAAATTAGTTTGACTTCCCTCCCAGATCTCTACAACAGAACGAGGTGGGAGAAATGGAAAGTCAAAAAACTTGGGAGCTTCAATTTCAACTCTGCCTTAAGCATTACAGCCTAGTAATTAGTTTTTGATGGGTGCAGCTTGCAATATTTCCTAGTGATCTAAAATTGCCTTGTGTCCTTTATAGTACCTCCAAATGGTCTGGTTGTTTACTGTGGAACAATTGTGACAGAAGAAGGAAAAGAGAAGAAAGTCAACATCGACTTCGAACCTTTCAAACCAATCAATACGTCGTTGTATTTGTGTGACAACAAATTCCACACAGAGGTAAGAAGTTTCTTATTGCCTGCTGCTCTTGGAGTAGTCAAAATCAGGCTGCTTTGCTGGACTCACTGGAACAATTGACCTGGACAGGCTGGAGAGTTGGGCAGAGCACACCTGATGAAATTCAACCAGGGCAAGTGCTGGGTGCTGCACCTGGGGAGGAATAACCCCCTGCACCAGGACAGGTTGGGGGTGACCTGCTGGAGAGCAGCTCTGAGGAGAAAGACCTGGGAGTCCTGGTGGACAACAGGGTGGCCATGAGCCAGCAATGGGCCCTGGTGGCCAAGAAGGCCAAGGGCATCCTGGGGGGCATCAGGAAGAGTGTGAGCAGCAGGTGGAGGGAGGTCATCCTGCCCCTCTGCTCTGCCCTGGGGAGGCCCCATCTGGAGCTCTGGGTCCAGTTCTGGGCTCCCCAGTTCCAGAAGGACAGGGAACTGCTGGAGAGGGGACAGCAGAGGCTACAGAGATGGTGAGGGGCCTGGAGCATCTCTCTGATGAGGAAAGGCTGAGGGACTTGGGTCTTTTTATCTAGAGAAGAGAAGGCTGAGGGGGGATCTGATCAACCCCTCTAAATACTTAAAGGGTGAGTGTCAGGAGGATGGGGCCAGTCTTTTTTCAGTGGTGCCCAGTGACAGGACAAGAGGGAACGGGCACAAACTTGAACATAAGAAATTCCTTCTCAACATGAGGAGTGAGGGTGGCAGAGTCCTGGAAGAGGCTGCCCAGGGAGGTGGTGGAGTCCCCATCTCTGGAGACATTCAAACCCCACCTGGACACGTTCCTATGCAACCTGCTCTGGGTGGACCTGCTTTGGCAGGGGGGTTGGATGAGATGATCTCCAGAGGTCCCTTCCAACCTCGTATCATTCTGTGATTGTGTAATCCTTGCTGTGCTCAGGTCCATGGTCTGTAGAACAGCAGGCTTTAATTAAGACGTCTTGCTGGTGAAGCCACTGGGTGGCTTGTGACTGGCCAAACCTGCTCTGGGTGGACCTGCTTTGGGAGAAGGTTGGATGGGAAGGGAGTTGAGATATTGTCCTGCTCCCACTCCAACTGACTTTATGGCCCAGCTGGTAACTGCTGAGTTTGGGTAACCCACAGACAGAGCTTTTCTCTCTAACTGGAGGCAAGAGTTTTGTTTCTTTTTTTCCTTAACCTTAGAGGCCAACAGATCTTATTCCAAGCCAGGCCTTAAAGTAATGCCAAGATAACATTAGTGTTGCCGGTCTTGATATCAGCTGTTGTTAACTGAGACGCTTGATGGAGAACTGGCATGTGCCTAATCAATCTGGGGTAAAGTGGGATTATTTTTATCCGACATCTACTTATCTTAGTTGAGTGAATAGTTTGAGGCATATTTAAATTCATGTGGATTACACTAGTCTTGACTGCATGAAGTCACTTCATTGTGTCCAAGTCTGTCTTGGCTGTGTTGTTAGTGGCAGATGTCTCAGTATTTGTAGTAGATGACTGACTGCCTCTCACATCCATGGTGTTCACCACCATAAATGTGTGGGCTGAGACTTAATGACGTGATCAAACCTGTATGACCCCTCACCACAAAAGAGACATTGAGGGGCTGGAGTGTGTCCAGAGAAGGGCAACGGAGCTGGTGAGGGGTCTGGAGAACAAGTCTCCTGAGGAGAGGCTGAGGGAGCTGGGGGTGTTCAGCCTGGAGAAAAGGAGGCTGAGGGGAGACCTCCTGAAAGGAGGGTGTAGCCAGGGGGGGTCGGTCTCTTCTCTTAAGTCACAGGCAACAGGACCAGAGGAAATGGCCTCAAGTTGCACCAGGGGAGGTTCAGATTGGAGATTAGGAACAATTTTTCCACGGAAAGGGTTCTTAAGCCTTGGAATGGGCTGCCCAGGGATGGTGGTTGAGGCCCCATCCCTGGAGGTGTTCAAAAGCCGGGTTGACATAATGCTTAGAGACATGGTCTAGTGATGTTGTTTTATCAGTGTTGGGTTGATGGTTGGACTAGATGATCTTAAAGGTCTCTTCCAACCTGGACAATTCTATGAAGTGGGCTTGACAGGCCATTCAGTGATGTAATTCTAATTCTTTGCTTGAATTTTTGGGGTCTGATCCATGATTTAGTTTCAAAGGGTAGGAGTACAGGAAGGAAAGGTGTGCACATTGCACAGGTGAGGTGCGTCTCTATTATTCTGTTTCCCCACAGAGGATGAAATCCCAATATACCTATTCCTGGCAGGAATAACAAAACTGCACACAGGTACAGCTCTAAAGTTCCGCTGACCCCATATCTCCATAGGTATTGAAAGCAGGAGGTAAATAAAAGCATTCAGAGAGAGCCAGAGGTGCAAAGCCAAGGGAGATACTTGTCCCCACGGTTGTTGACAGTGGGTGAACAGCGGTAGGTTGTCTTCTGCCCTATCAAGTAAGGGATTAATTTGGTCTTGGCTGCAGCTACAGCCTCAGTGCACCCATTCAATACCAAAAAAAAGTAGGTGCTGCTCAGTGGGCTGTTCCCTGGAGGTAGCTGTAGATACACTCTTGCTGGTGTGTAGCATTGCTCAGCAAGAGAGTGGCAATAACTTGAGAGGAGTTCATGGTCATTGCTACTGCTGCTGATGTGATTAGTGATGGCACCTTTCTCCATGGGCTGTTGGCTCTCCTGTGTCTTTTGAGTATGTGGTTATTTTACTTGGTGGTATCTGCAGGATCACATCTAGGTGTAGAAACCTGCTGTCTGCTGTCTTGAGCAGGGAGATGATGTTAGCACTGAAGTCTTGATTTGTGTATCTATCTCATTTGGTTGTAGAACCACACTTTTAACCCAGTGGTCCCCCCCAAGGTGCAGTTAGAACTCAACAGATGGGGCATCAGGCTTGGTACACGAATAGATTTCCTATGGAAGTGAGGATATGTCAAGGAGCAGAAAAAGAATGTGATCCAGGCTTGGTACACGAATAGATTTCCTATGGAAGTGGGGATATGTCAATGAGCAGAAAAAGAACGTGATCTTCACCTCTGGGCTGAAGCTGCAAAGAGGAAACTCAGCCCAGGCTGAAGGAATCAGAATTAAAGCAACAGTCCCTTTTTTTCTGCTTGATAGGTCAAAGAGTGGAGTTGCTGACCTAGAATTAATGAAGGTGAAACTGGGGGAATCGCTGATCGTTGGATACTTTATTAAAATAAGAGGGAATGGGGAACATCAGAGCTGTAGTCATCTGCTGCCTGGCAAGAGTATCCGATAAGATTTCCTCGGGATATTTTATGGCCTGTGTGAAACCGAAGTAACTTCCCAAGAGGGATATGAACCCTGATGTGTGTCTGAAGGGGAGGATTTACAATGACTTATTTTGATACCTTGGCTGGAGCATTCATTCCAGTCACACGATTTGCTTGGCTCTGCCCCAGCGAAATAGATTGCAATGTAATATGCCACTTCCTCCTCTCATTCATCCCACCGCTGAGGAATTAATACAGAATATTTGTTTTGGCCAGTAGATTCCATTAAATCTTAGTGTCTGTTTCTTTTAAGCATGAAAGCTGTAGACTTTGGTGGTGTGGATTTTGGATAAAGATGAGTGATGGTTTTTATTCTTTCCATCCAGGCCAATAATCAGGCTGGCAGGCGTGCAGGCAGTTAATGGTCCTGTGCAGTAAACCAACACCCTCACTCTTTCAGGATTAAACTGGGGACTTAAAACCAGCTGGAATTTGACAGGTTCTCCGTCCTGCTGCTGTTCTTTTGCCAGCCAGAAAGAGGACTCTTGCCATTATGTTTATTGGGCACCTATAAATGAACAGAATCGGACGAAAGTAACTCAAAAGCCTTAGTATTAAGGAGTGTGTTAGTTGTTAGTCAACTTAAATGACCTTAGAGGGTGAATTTAGCTGCCTTCTTTAAAGGGAAGAAAATTGATGGATAAATTAATTTTCCAGCAAATATTACGGCTCTCTTCTCTATAGGTACAGGATAATTACTGCTGCTGTTACTTAATGCTGCTGTGTGAGGCTGAATTTGTCACAGCTGCTGTAGGTTTTATCGTTCTACCTTTGGGACTTGTTGAAGTCAGGAGGTGCAGCGAACCGGTCTTAGTGGTCGTTGGCAAGTCTCAAGCTGGTCTGTACTGGTGCTCTGCAGTATAAAACTGCACTGACAAATAGCCTGGTCAGTGATCTAAGCGAGTTCTGCTTTCCTGGCTGGGGTACTTGGAAAAAATCACTTTTCCAGTTTTGCCAAAGGGAGAGGTGGTGCAGCGTCACAGAGGTGTGATTCGTTTCACTTATTAACACTTCCCAGAGCCAGCCTTGAGGGTTTTGCTGTTACACCTGCCTGTGACATCACTCAATCAACTGGTGATGCTGTGAAAATAGTTATCAGGCTTAAAAGTTAGTTTTTCTTTCTGCTCTTGCCAGCACTCCGTGGGGCAGTAATCCGGGATAGACTCAGCTCCTGGATCTGCTGCTCTTCCTCTAGTTTATTGGTTAAAAAAAAAATAGCAGTGACCACCTGTGGACCTAAAATGTATTGAGGTGTATTGTTTTTGGTAGCCTTTCTGAACCAGGGCCCTTAACAAACTGGTGCTTACTGCTGACAACATGCTTTTCTCTTCCAGGCTCTTACAGCGCTGCTTTCCGACGACAGCAAGTTTGGCTTTATTGTAATAGATGGTAGCGGTGCACTCTTTGGAACTCTTCAAGGAAACACAAGAGAGGTCCTGCACAAATTCACTGTGGATCTTCCAAAGAAGCATGGTAATGGACTAGTCTCTCTCTAAACTGCAGCAGAATATTGCAGGATGGGGCAGGAGCAGGGGATTTTTGGCCTGTAGGTGTTTAGCTCTGCTCAGTTCTGTGCTCCCCTGAAATCTGACAGCAAAGCCTCTCGTCTGAGCCTTCTGTCAAAATTAATGAATCACTGTAATATGCAGTTGATAGGGCTGGGAAGATGATTAGGTGTGTTTAGCTCTGCTCAGTTCTGTGCTCCCCTGAAATCTGACAGCAAAGCCTCTCGTCTGAGCCTTCTGTCAAAATTAATGAATCACTGTAATATGCAGTGATAGGGCTACGAAGATGATGAGATGCCTGGAGCATCTCTCTTATGAGGAGAGGCTGAGGGACTCAAGCCTTTTTAGTCTGGAGAAGAGAAGGCTGAGGGGGGATCTGACCAACGCCTATAAATACTTAAAGGGTGGGTGTCAGGAGGATGGGGCCAGGCTTTTTTCAGTGGTGCCCAGGGACAGGACAAGAGGGAACGGGCACAAACTTTGAACATAGGAAGTTCCATTGTAAACGTGAGGAGGAACTTCTTTCCTGTGAGGGTGGCAGAGCCCTGGCAGAGGCTGCCCAGAGAGGTGGTGGAGTCTCCTTCTCTGGAGACATTCAAACCCCACCTGGACACGTTCCTGTGGGACCTGCTCTGGGTGGACCTGCTCTGGCAGGGGGTTGGACTGGATGATCTCCAGAGGTCCCTTCCAACCCCATATCATTCTGGGATTCTGTGATCTTAAAGTGGCACTCCTTATTTCCTGGTGCGCATGACCCTTCACTTGGTTTTTGGGACAGTCCTAATTAAATATTACTAGCACAAGTGCTAATACCCAACCCCATATCATTCTGGGATTCTGTGATCATCTTAAAGTGGCACTCATTTCCTGGTGCACGTGACCCTTCACTTGGTTTTGGGACAGTCCTAATATTACTAGCACAAGTGCTAATACCTTTTGGTAGCACCTGTAAAGTTTGCTTCTGATGCTGTTGCACCCAAACTGCAGGGCAAAGCAAGAAGGTGCAAGAAGCACAGAAACCCAATGGAGCAAGCAAAGTTCTAGTTCCATTACATGATTCTGTGTAGTAGTGAGGCACTGATGAATCCAGCAGATTCTGTTCCCTCCTCCTGGTTTGCTGACCACCTCTGTGGATTAGGATGGGACAAAATGAAATAGAAGTGTCTCCCCCAGTAAGGCTGTGCAGCAGGGGGTGCTGGGTTGCATCGTATCAGCAAGAGAAATAGGTGAGGCAGCATGACAGAGGAAATGGCTTTTAATCACAGAATCTTCTAGGTTGGAAGGGACCTTAAAGATCATCTTGTCCAACCATCAACCTAACTTGGACAAAAATAGACACCCACACAACAAACAAGGAGCATCATCACTAAACCAGACCTCCCAGCACTACATCAACCCGTCTTTTGAACACCTCCAGCGATGGGTCCTCAACCGCGTGCCTGGGCAGCCCATTCCAATGCCTGAGAACCCTTTCAGTGAAAAAATTTTTCCTAATATCCAGCCTGAACCTCCCCTGGCACAACTTGAGGCCATTTCCTCTTGTCCCATCGCCTGTTCCTTGGGAGAAGAGACTGACCCCCCCCCCCCCGGCTACACCCTCCTTTCAGGGAGTTGGAGAGAGCAATAAGGTCTCCCCTCAGCCTCCTTTTCTCCAGGCTGAACACCCCCAGCTCCCTCAGCCTCTCCTCACAAGGCTTGTGCTCCAGACCCCTCACCATCTTCGTTGCTCTTCTCTGGACCTGCTCCAGCAGTTACAGGACTGTGAAGACAATGAAATTACAGGACTTAAAAAATGTGCAGAGGTGTTCAGAAATTCTATAGAGAGATATAGGTCTGTATATAAAAAAAATAAAAATAAAAATCAACCACCAACATATTTCCCTCCGTGGGATATTTGGAGAAAAATCTCTTGCTGTGAATGAACCCTCTTTATTCAGTTGCTGTTTCAGTCCCTGCCCCTGGCTCTGCCTCTGGCAAACTCATTCTGAAGCTGCAGCTGCCCTCAACTTCGGTTATTCAGGGCTCAGTTGGGACCACGTAATACTAATAACCTTCCTGAAATGAACTGACTTCCCAATTGCTACCCTGGCCTCTCTGCTCTTCCCTAAAGGTAGAGGAGGTCAGTCTGCCTTGCGTTTTGCTCGTTTGAGGATGGAGAAACGACACAACTACGTGAGGAAGGTAGCGGAGACAGCTGTGCAGCTCTTCATTTCTGGAGACAAGGTGAACGTGGCCGGTCTCGTTTTAGCTGGATCGGCTGACTTCAAAACTGAATTAAGTCAATCCGACATGTTTGATCAGGTGAGTGACCTTTTTCTGAGCAGAGCCCCAGCGTTTAAGCTGTCAGTGATATTGGCAGCAGCTCTGCTACAAGATGCATCTCAGGGAGGAGTGTAACCTCGGTGTCTTAAGTGATTTGATCAAAGCTAAATAAATCTGTTGTATCCTAACGAGATCTCCATTTCCTAATGCCTCCTGCAAGGATGTAAGATCTCCTTTTCTTAATAACAATACTCATAAGCAATCTGTCCTCTCTGGTTTGGAGCTGGCATTCACATTCTTTGTGTTCCCAAATCTAAAGTAGGAGCTTTACTGGAACTAAACGCCACTAAAACTAATCTCCCTGCCCCTGTTGCCTGAAAACTGTGCTTCAATATTAAGTGTTCAGAGGTCCCTCTGTCTTGGAACCTCTGCTTGCAAGTGAAACAAAGCAGATTAATGCTGTGGCTCTTGCCAGGCACTTACTCTGATGGTGCTGTGAAGTGGTCCTGTGGCAGTGCTGTGTAACAGACTCCTTTTCACGTTTCCTCTTCTCCTTGTTCAGCGGTTGCAATCCAAAGTGCTCAAACTAGTTGACATTTCATACGGAGGAGAAAATGGATTCAATCAAGCAATTGAGTTGTCAACTGAGGTCCTCTCCAATGTGAAATTCATTCAAGAGAAGAAACTAATAGGTACGTGGCTCCACGCTCAGCCTCCTTCTCCCGAGCCAAATATGCTTGACTGAATATGCTGATGCCTCTGTGTGCTGCCTCAGCTGGGCAGAGCATGACTTGTAGTGAGCCTTTCTGTCACCTGAACACCTCAGATGCTGCTGGACTTAATGAGAATTCAAGGAGTGGGGATTTTTGTTGATTTTCCTTTTTTTTCCCCCCACAATATTTCTTGTGGCTTCTCTGTTTATCTTTTCATTAGAGATCACCTTCATTGTTTGATTTTTTTTTTTTTTTTCCCCACCATATTTCTTGTGGCTCCTCTCTTTATCTTCTCATTAGAGATCACCTTCATGTCAGGCTTTCTGGTGACATTTGGGTGGGAGGGAGAAAAAATATCTCCTTGGATCGTTTGCATCGAGAGTTAAGATTTAATTTGTGTTAAGGTGGCAGTAGAAAGTGATCCCTTGTTTGACTGTCAGCAGACACATCACTAATTGCAAGCCCAAGAGGGCAATACAAACAGTAGGTACCTTACACTGAGGAGAGTGAAGTTAAGTAGTGCCTGCTGGTGGGTTAATCCCATTGATTGTCTCATAGCGAAGGTAGCCCTTTCAGTGGGGTGAGATTCCTGACAGGGAGTGGAGTTTTCTCCATCCTCACTTCCTCCAGATTCCTGACTCACTGATGGAGTTGACTTTCTGCCCATGAGTGTTCTAAATTACAGTCTTCGACGTGTTGGCACATACCTTGCTTCCTTCAGCAGCATCGCAGTCTCCTTTTCCAGTTTCTTCCTGCAGTGTTGGCACATACCTTGCTTCCTTCAGCAGTCTCCTTTTCCAGTTTCTTCTTGCGTTCCACTCAGATTTGTTAAAAATCCCTGTGGCATGATCAGTGTTTGTGACAATCTCTCTCTTTATACCTTGGCTGCAGGACGATACTTCGACGAAATCAGTCAGGACACGGGGAAGTACTGTTTTGGCGTTGAAGATACATTAAAAGCTTTGGAAATGGGAGCAGTAGAGATACTGATAGTCTATGAAAATCTGGATATCATGAGATACGTTCTGCACTGCCAAGGCACGGAGGGTAGGTAGCGCTTCTCCGTGAGGGTTTAACACCTAAGCCTTGGCTAGATTAACGCTGGAGGAGTTCCCAAAGCAGACCTTGAAGGGCCTGATCAAGGGAATGTTGCGTGGGCAGGTCACTAACTTGTGGCTTCCCAGCTACTTGGCCAGGGGGGAAAAGTCTGAAAGGAGCAGGCGTCCGCTGCGGAGAGAGAATGGCCGTGCTGGGGGGGCAGTTTGGCACAGAGCTGGCATGAAACCTGCCTTGCAGTTGTGGAAGTATAAATGTGATACCCAGAGGGGAGACTGGCTTGACCCTTATGGCCAGAAACACAATTTTTACTGACTACAGACCATATGCCTGCAGCAGGACTTCTGCCTGTTTGCCCTTTTTGGTTTCCTGTAGAAATTCAGCTGGAAAGAAGGCAATGTCAACGGCCAAACCCTCTTTTGCTGTCCTCAACCTACATCTGGGAGTCTTGTCCAACGTAATGTTTCTTTCTCTCTCTCCCTTCACAGAGGAGAAGATCCTGTATTTGACACCAGAGCAAGAGAAGGATAAATCCCACTTCACAGATAAAGAGGTATTTCAGCTCTGGGGCTTGGAGATTTTATTCTGAGGGTACTGGTGCAGCGTTCTGAACATCTGAGCTTAGTTTGTCACAACCACATGAGCACGATGACCTCTGTGGCACTCAGAGGAAACTCCAAGCCTGTGGCTCTTCCTGTTCACCTTCAGCGTAACCCCTGGCTTCTAGACTTGCTTTTCTCCAGTCTCTCCTGCTGCCAATTCCAAGGTTGTGTAAATGAGTTGAAGCGACAGGCAATACGACTGCCCCCAAACCACCCACCGGAAGAGTTTGGTAGCCACCAGGCTGAGGTTCCAAGCCATTACTCCCTGCTTACTGTGCAATGATTTGGTCAATACAAACCAACTGTCAGGCTAGAAACTATTACAGAGATTTAAGTGCAAGGGAGCGTTTGCTTCTCTATATTTGAGAAGTGGATCTGTCACTCGCTGCCTGTGAGTTTCTTGCCTCTACAGGTCAAAAACCCCTGGTGGGGCTGGGATCTGTAGTACTTGGCAGATCAAGGTGGGTGAAAAATCTGTCCCGTGCAAAAATGGTGGTCCCCTCTGTCTCCCATTAGGACTCCAGGGTAGCTGTTTCCAGCTGCTTTCCCTCCTGCTGGGGTAATTGCTAATTCCCTCTGTGCCTGGAAGGGTTACAGTGGTAGCTGCAATGAGGTAGTGCTTCTATGCCAATAATCACTTCACTTTCTGCTTAGAAAAGGATGCTTTTTGCCTCTATTTGCCTCGATCAGTATTTCTTAAAGTAAATGGTGGCTGGTAAGATGAGTGGTGACAGACTGTTTGTAGGGTATGAAGTAAATCTGAAAAACCAGTGACAACTAAGAGTGTAGCATGAGGTAACAGTTGAGCAGAGGAATAAAAAAAGGTGTTTTCTCTCCTGCTTCTGCACTAACTTTGGTAGTAAGGAGGTTCAAAGCGAGGAGTCTCATTGTTTAAGCTAAAGACAACTTTTGGTACGAATTTTCTCATTGCCTAACATGCCATGACCATAACCTTTTTTTTCTTTTCCCTCTCCAATGTCTCCACAGACTGGCCAGGAACATGAACTGATAGAAAGTATGCCCCTTCTGGAGTGGTTTGCAAACAACTACAAGAAATTCGGAGCAACATTGGAAATTGTTACAGACAAATCACAGGAAGGATCCCAATTTGTGAAAGGATTTGGAGGAATCGGAGGTAAACTGCAAGACAAAAACGTGTTTGTCTTGTCTTTTTTTTTAATGGTTGATTTGATAATCTGGTGCCAACACAAGTGGAAGGCTAGAGAGATTAATCTTACCCCTATTAGTCAGGATATCAGTTTGAGAAATGATCAGAGGGTGCTTGGAGGGTGGACTGTCCTTCTTTCCAGCTGCTGAATTTCAGAAGGGCCGTGAACTGCTCCGTTCTGTCTCTGCTTTGTTGTTGTTTTGGGGCAGACTCTGCCCTGCTGTGTAGAAGTGGTGTGTGACAAACACCAGCCTAGTTTCTGAAGCAGCTGGATATCTGTTACCCATCTCTCAGAACGTCCCTGTACTTTGCTGTCTGGTCTCCTGCTTCTTTGCAGAAGAAAAGTATTTTTAGCCCAGCCTGATGGAGAAATGAGGCTCTTAAAATCCTTCAGTCCTTCTCTTGAGCTCACTGACCAGTTTCAGCTAAGTCTGGCAGAGGTGCAGATCATAGAATCACAGAATGGTTTGGGTTGGAAGGGACCTTAAAGATCAGAGAGTTTCAACACCTCCCACCACACCAGGTTGCTCCAAGCCCCCTCCAACCTGCCCTTGAACCCCTCCAGGGATGGGGCAGCCACAGCTTCTCTGGCCAACCTGGGCCAGGCTCTCACCACCCTCACACCAAACAAGTTCTTCCCCACAGCTCAGCTCCATCTCCCCTCTTGCAGGGTCAAACCCTTCCCCCTCCTCCTAGGGCTCCCCTCCCTCATCCAGAGTCCCTCCCCATCTTTCCTGGAGCCCCTTGAGGGACTGGAAGAGGCTCTAAGGTCTCCCTGGAGCCTTCTCTTCTCCAGGCTGAACCCCCCAACTCTCTCAGCCCCCCCTCCCAGCAGAGGGGCTCCAGCCCTCCCAGCA